CCCGCTTTCTTCCAGCAGATTCTAGATCATACCCCTTCAATGAAGAAGGGTGATGCGCGCTTCAAATCTGAACACCGGAGTCACCTGGCAGCTTGTTGCAGTTTGCTGCAAGATGAATTAATTAAGCACATGTTGAAACATGTGCGCCAGTTTGTGACCCTGGAGAGCTGTTTCACCTTGATCGCATCAGCCCCCTTCCTTTTGTCAATTTATTTGCAATGCCCTTCTTTCAGAGATGAACAGCTGGGGAATCTCCAACGAAACGGGTCCTTTGTCAATCAAACTCAACACTTGGCCTTCTCAAACAACAAGCTAAGGAAGCCTTTTAGCCACTCGACAGCCAGAGCTTATAAGAATTGATATAGAGGCTTGGACAATGCGAGGGTTTCTGCCATTCGTGCAGCTGAGGAAGCACTTGCCCTCTTTATTCCGATTTCTATGGCCGAAGATTTGAGCTGTCGCGATTTGTTCAACAATGAAAAGGCCCATACTGTCCAGCGGTGACTCAAACTGCCGTTTTAATCCTTTTTACTTGGCAGGTCATTGGTGCTGTCTACTCGGCCAGCTTTGCTGTTGACAGTTCCGAGGACCTACATAGCGTTTAAAAGCTGCAGCCTGAGCCTGTTCTTTTTTTGCGACTTTGTCATGTATTTTGTTGCAGGATGTGTTGCCATGCAAACGACGCGTGATGATCAGGCGGATCGGAGCCCTCCGAATCACTCGAGTTGCGTGATGATTTTGTCGCTGATGGCAACTGTTAATTTTTTTGCGTTTTGGTTCAAAAGATACTTCCACCTCCATGGCTGTGCATCGAAAGGAAGTTGGTGGACTCATTGATCCCTCCGCAGGGACCAAGGGAATGCCGCTCGAACTCAGTTGGAGAAGTCTGCGAAGATGCGATTTGAACAAATCCGATTTCTTCAACACTTTGTCAAGAAATAACTTGGAGGATCTTGGAGGTGAAGGCATAGCATAGCTACTCCTTTGTTCCTTTTGTTTGCTTTCGAGGCCACGTGTTTTCACTACAACTGGACCGAGAGCCAGTGGCTGCAAAATTGAACTTGGCATCCTGGCGACGCCACATGCCCACCAGCTGTTCTGACGTGATTATCAATGTCCCAATCTTAGAGACATTGTTTCATGTTTTTTTGTTTTTTGGTTTCACTCGAGCTGTTTCGATTGCGTTCTAATAGAAGCTGCTTAGGATGCGAATGCCCAGAACTTATTTGTTCATTGATCACGTGGTGTTCGTGCAAGACTTCGGTCATAAAGTTTGCAGATGCGTTCAGCTTAGGTCCAGGAGTGGCTGCCTGATGTGCCCCAAGAATATTTCAAGCTTCCTGGTCCTGAGGAAAAGCTCGACTTTATCAGGAGTCGGTGATTGAATTGAAGGAACAGTTTGGCACAGACACCTGCTTTTTGTATGTACTCGCTGAACGGGTTTGTTTTGAAGGCACGGTTTGCTTTATCACCACGGGGGGCTTGTGATGAAGAGAGAAGCTTAGCTGCAGTAAGAAAGCAAGCTGGATCGAGCCTCTTCTCGTATTTCTGCCAAAGCTCTTCGCCGGGTGCTTCTTGTATAGGGCTTTACATTCTTGTTTGTCTTGTTTTGTTCATGTGTTCCTCTCCCTGTTTCTATTTGCACATTTGCTCGAAGCTTTCAACCTGACAGACCAAGACCGCTTCTCGTTTTTGCAATTGTTGCTTTCCTGTTCCTGATGAAACTTTCTATTTTTCTACTTCAGGCAAGGGAGATTAATCACCAGGAACAAACAGCTTCCAGTTCCAAAAGCGGCGGGGCAGGTCTTGTCACAGGCTGCAGGCCTATACATCGACGTGGTTGACCGAAACAAAAAGCCAGGATTGGTTCATCCTTGGTTCGTGAAGAAACTTAAAGTTTATGGTGTCTATAAAGTGTGTATAAAGTTTAAAGATATTTAGTTATATAATGTTATATATACACATACAAATGCTAGTTTTTGTTTGTTTATTGCTTGTTTGCCTGGCATTTGTGTACTAACCTTTGTTTGGGTTCTACCCTTGAGTTTTTGCATATAGGCAAGAAGGGCAATGTTTTTTGTTTTTGTGGTTTTATATAATTTGTGTGTCTGTGTGTGTGCGTGTGTGTTGGTACACTCAACATAAATACTTATATATATATATATCAGCATGTACAGTATCCATCGGTGTGTGTATCGCAAAATTTGCATATCAGTCGCATGAACAGATATGACCGGTTCGGCAAGTGACTGGACTGCTTTTGATTCAGAATTAGATCTAAGGAGGTCATTCTCACTGAAAGTTTGGAGACATTCATGGAGATTGCAGCTTCTGTTGACATCTTCTCGCTACTCGGAGACACGAAGTGACTACCGTAGATGGACAAGATATTCAAACCATTCAAACCACTTGGACCTCTTCCACCCCAAAACTAAATGTTATCGAGCCCGCTAGAGTGTTTGGACAAAATGGATGAAACAAATCAAGCCCTGGCAACACAATTCAAAGAAGTCGTGCTCAAGATTGAATTTTGAGGGTAAAGGGTTCGAGTCACTTACTGACTCAGAGGTTAAAATGTTTTGTCCATCCACTGTAGGACTTAGGACCGATATTTTTGCTCTTCTTCGCTTTGCTTCAGGTCAGCCGAAGAGGGATCTGGAACAAGATGCCCCTTGGACTCCAGCAACTTGTAATGATGTTTCTCCGATTGTCCTGTACTGAAATTGATTTTTGACTAGGTGGGGGCTCCTTCCAAGCAAATCAAATCCTTGGAGGACGTCAGGCAGATTTGCAGCTTGCAATGTTTCGGCATCATATGTCATAAGTGAAAGCATGCTTGATAAATCTGCAAGTCTTTCCTTTGGTTTATATTTCAGGCTAGCCACTACCATGGAGTTGCTTGGCATGTTGTGAAAGAGGCACTCACAAAGCACTGTCCTTTGGCAGACAGGAACAAGGAGAGATCGCAGGGTGTTTGGGTTCATAGTGCTGTGACTGTGTCAAGCTTGGAAGCTTATGACCGATTTTTGAGTTCCTTTGTTCCTTGCTTTGTTCGATTGCTTTCTCCCTTCAATCTTGAGCGGCTTGCAGTTCTTGCAAGCATACGCCATCGTACGCCTCAGGAGATCATTTGCTGCTTCGATGCAGATGTCTCGTGTCACATACCAGGAGGAAGCTTGGGCGAAGGCATGTTTATCAAAACAAATCTGTTGGATCAGCTTAGCACAAATTGCGACGGTCACCATGATTCAAATTGTGTTTAATGATCAAAATTAAACATGCGCTTTGTGCACGAGGGGAATGGACATGAATGGGAATGCAGTATACAGATAACTCTGATCGGCGCGAGGCATGTCCATCAAAGTGAAGAGGTGGTTCGAGGCGCTATTTTAGCAACACAATGTAAAGACAATGTAGGATGGTTCTTACAAACTGCTAGCTGGAGAAGCAGCTCGATGCCGCTCCTCTAGTTAGGCTGCTGACTTTCCAGTGGAGTCGCATTGCCTTTGGGGACAGCATTCAGTTCGGCCGGCCTACTTCCAATATGTGCTTGATCACAAGCCTAAGCCACTTAGACGCAGGATGACGCTTGACCGCTTATACTCAGGGGCATTGTTGATTGACTTCAAACATATCTTCACTTCGCAGACTCAAAATCCGCTTGTGACGTGCTGTCCTATCTGATTTCCGACAAATTATGTTTCGATCCTGAGTCTGGATGAGTGTGGAAGATAGCTTGTTCCCTTCCCCTTATATACCTCCAAGGCCACAAGTTAGATTCAGACCTTGGTCACATTGTAAGAACTTCAAACTGAGTTCGATTTCAACGAAACAGCTCCCGAGGCTGCATGATGCCATGCAATACTTCACGCACAAACGACAGATGGAACTACTGAACAGGAGCGATTGTGCTTCCATGCACGCGTTTGAAAGGATTTGATGCCCATCCACACTTGTTGCTTCATATATTACTAACGTTTATTAGTCTATTATAACAAATTAAAACTATAACCACAGTTCCAACATTGAGTTCCCCTGAACCTGTCAGCAGTTGACGTATCCTCCACTCATGCAGGACAGCATTCTTTGTCCCTTTTGAGCAAAGAAGCTGTGAAGAGTTCCTCGAGACAGAAACGGCATCTCGATAAAACCGAACTGACTCAGCTGACTCAGAGGTAGCTCAGCTGACTTGTTTCTCAGAGTTGCAAGCCCTGAGGTGGTTGGAGCAGCCCTTTGGCTTGAGCGAAAAACTCCACATTACCATAGAGATCGGAGATCCGAGATCTTAGAGATCCATAGAGCCAGAATATGAATCAGTTTCAATGAGAGTCACAAGTCACAAGTCAAAATACTTATATAAATAGGAATATGCGTTTGGTGCATTAAAAATAGTCACAGTGAGTTTCAACATCACGATGAGGTCTACATGAAGAGCTTCGGTCGAACGTCTTCCTCCGGTTCCCTTGGGTGTCCGATTGGATGATGAGAAAAAGTCCTGCAACCTACGGTTCTCTACGTGGAAGAGACTCAGATGAATCTGACTGAGATGAACACTCGCAGCGTTCTCAATCATGTCTCAACTTTGTTTGCTTCTCGTTCAGTGTTTCTGTTGATTCTGTACGGCCTATCACTATAGACCTTGGCTATTTTGGCTTTTCTCTTGCAGGACGACCAGATGCCTGCAGAACGCTGACGCTGTAGATGATTGGGCTATCCAGTCTCCTGACTTGAACAATGCCAAACAGCTTCAAGGTGGAAGTGACAAAGGCCTCAATGATGACCGCTGAGCTATGCCAAACACGCTGGGCAAAGACATTCATGAGACGACCGCGGCTTTGTCGAGCAAAATCCCCTTGATGTCGCCGCTTTGAGAAAAGAGACGAAAAAGCTGGCATCGGAAAAGCATGCAATACATGGAAACACTCATTTGCGGCCTGGAAGCATCTGCAAGCCATACCTGGCCGACATTCATTTGATGTTGTTTGGCTGTTCAACGTCAGGTACAAAAGAGACTGAAAGAAGACCTGGCAATAACTCATCGAGATTCGCTGTACGAGGTTTGGGGTGAAGCGCTCTTTCGTAAATAAATGAACAGAATAACCTCAAACGCTAAGAAAGAACATAATAGCAATGTCCTCCTAAGGTCAACTAAGATCACTAAGGTCCAACGTTTTAGCCATGGAGATCACGTTTGCTTCAGGTCTTGGTGCGAAAGGAAGGTCGTGCATTCGCAGCAGATATAAGTGGCGCTGATGCAGTGCGAACGCTCCCTCCTCAAACATGACCCAAGAATGGCAGATGCACATTGATTATATATATAGAGATTTTAGACATGTTATGGAAGTAAACTGGGTCATGCAATGTGCTATTTTGAGATGTAATTACCCTAGGCTTTAGGCCGGGGTCGCTTCTATGTTTTAAGGTACAATGCTGTTCTGGCAGCAATCGAACTGTTTACTACAAAGCAGCAGAGGCACTTGCAGGCGGCACAGTTGTGCTTCCAGACAAGGTGCTTTCCACGTGCTGTGAGAAATCAGATTCTGCGCTACAATGATGTGGCTTTAGGCAGACAGCTTTTTGCTGCGAAAGATTCATACCCAAGAACAGGACCCGAACTAGCTAATTTTTGTCACATCGGTCCAGTTGGCACATTCAAACCTTGGGAGGAGAGGCACAAAGCAGCTCAGGCTAGCAGTGTCATTTCAGAAGAGCACTCGCCAAAACCATGCTATAGCCGCGCACAGGCCAAGGCAAAAGCTGCAAAAGAGGTCAAGACTGTGAAGAAGTCTAAGGATTGAACTGCAGCCAACGACTCTGCTCTATGAATTGATCAAGTTTTGCAAAGCGAGTAAATACAGGAGGCCCCGTCTGTGTCGGGCTTGGTCAAAACGACGCGCAAGGACTGGGAACACGTGTTCTGTTTGCTTAGACTGTTTGCAATCTTCGTCAATCGAAGTTCCACATTTTTTTTCCAAATCATTTATATAGAGATTGCTATTAGGTTGGAGATCATCGCTCTTAGGTTGGAGGCCATCGCTATTAAATACATTGAAATGGCCGTTTAAAAAAATATATGTATGTATGTATGTATGTATGCATGTATGCATGTATGCATGTATGCATGTATGCATGCATGCATGCATGCATGCATGCATGTATGGATGTATGTATGTATGTATGTATGCATGTATGCATGTATGCATGTATGGATGTATGTATGTATGTATGTATGTATGTATGTATGTATGTATGTATG